AAATACCAAACAAAAGTTTTGTTTTCAAAGCTTTTATTAAACTATAAACTACTTAGCCAAATATATTTCAAAGATGTAAAATATAAAAACAAAAAGACAAAGATAACATCTTTAATAATAGAATTTTTAAAATATAAAAAAAATGTTACTTGATTAAATATCCTAAAAGCTAGATACCACCAAAATTATTACATTTCTTTCAAAAATTAATAAAAAATACTTTAAAAAATTGCCAATATTCAGAGAATTATCCAATTCAAATAAAATTTTCAGTAATTATTCATTAATGAATGAATTGTACAAGATTAAGTTGTTTTATTAGAAAATATTTTTCAAAATATTTGAGAGGGGATCAGTTTAACACCCCCTTTTCAATATCTCTGTTGCTGTTCATGAGAATAATTTGTTTTATTAAATAAAGACAGGATTTTAAAAAATGTAAAGTTAAATGTCATTTTTGTTTGTGAAGAATTTTTTCTCTCATTTTTGTATGGATGTCCAAAAAGGAAATAATTCTGAATTATCACCTTTTTTACTGACTACTTTTCCCTATTGCAATAATAATATACGAGATAATTTAATAATTTAAGTTCAGAAAAAAATGAAAAAAAAAACCTAATTGTGTGCAATTAAATATTTTAAACAGCAAACAGATATGAAAACAATCAAAAATTAAAAATAATGAATTAAACTCAAAAGTATCATTTCACTAGTTTTTAATTTTCTTTTTTTATACTTCTAATGTTGTATAAAAAAGGAAATTATTCATTCTACTAAGTTTTATAAAAGAAAACCAAAAGAACTACATTCTTAAACTCCTGGATATATTAAGGTTAAATTTATTTTTAAACATAAATACTAGTTTCTTCATTATTGCACTGATGGTGCTCCATTTTTCTTTAATTCTTTTTTCACCCTGTTTAAATTAGGGAAAAATTACTATTTTTGACTTATAACCTCACAGGCCACCATACATAAATAAACATTATTTTAAATATGTTTTACGCAAAAAGTAAGCATTAAATAATCATAAAATTCAGTTAATCAATCTGTAAATTTACTAAATAACTTTGAAACATATCTCTAGGACAAATTTTGGATTTTTTTTAAGAGATTTTAAATTTGTTGTTTACATTTTTCTAATGTTGTATAAAAAGGAAATTATTCATCCTACTAAGTTTTATAAAAGAATATTTGACATACAAATAGAAAATGAATTAAGTAAATATACAGAAATATAAACAGCATAAGACAAGGATGTATGTTCTCAGCATACTTATCTATATCTATAAAACAGAAGATGTCAGTGTTTGTGTCTGTTTGTGGGTATGCTATTTATAAACGTCCAAATTTCTCCACTGATTTTGATGAAATTGTATACACATGGTGCAAATTTACCAAGATAGAGCAAGACCAACTGTTCGATCTCCACTCCCCCGGGTTTGGCAGAAAAATCGATAAAACTGAATGTGGGTTTAACTTTTTGCAAAAACCAAGACAAAGTTACATGTGAAGAAAATGTTTACTGGATAAGCTGATATTTTTTGCACTTAATGCAAAACATAACTCATGCTATGAGGTTTATGTTAAGAGCTTGATAGTTTTCCTGCGGCATTGGCTTCACAAAAAAAAACTGTTTTCTGTACTCCTTAGAATAAAAACTTGAATAACTTCCTCATTTTTATCTGATTTTATCAAACACGCAAAAAATGTGTCATTATGCAAGAAGTAAGATAGTCCTCCTTACTTCCCTGCGTATAACGAAAAACTACGAAGAACAGTTTTAAAAAACTGTTTTCAGCCATAACTCCCTGGTTTTTCATCCGATGCTTTCTAAATTTGCCATGTAAATTACATATGACACACAAATTGTCTTGCGCGAATGTTTGGTTTAGATTATTTCAGTTAAGTGAACGAGATCTGCGACAAAATAAGTCCAAAATCGGCTTTTGTCATTTGGTCAATTGTTTCTTCATATGATTCCATCCTAAATTGGCATTTGAACAAATTTTGATGCAAAGAATGTTTGAGAAGGATTATTGAAGCGTTAAAATGAAAAAATTACCGAAAAACTCTTATTAACCCCAGCTTTACAGTAAACGTGCCAAGAAGGATGTGGGGACGTTCCTGTGTTTGCACTTGCAGTTGAGTCAAGCTCTGACCTTTCATCCGTGTTTTGGTTTCATTATTAGATTTGTGAACAATACCATTCTATTTGAAAGTTATTACGGCCAAAGGAAATTTACTGAATATCTAAATCATTGAAACAATTTGACGCCCAGCAACGACCACACAAAAAGGTTTTATCGATGGCATTCCTTTATTAAGAACAATCAAACACTTACAAAGGACATACCATAAAAAGATGACGGTAGAATAGCTTAGTATACCAACTGATGATGCATGCAATTGAGGACACATTCAGACATTTCTAGACAGTGGGTGCGGGTATACGGGGGTGCGGTTACACAATTGCAGCCATGTACACCCGGGCAACGCCAGTTACCTCAGCTAGTTCCAAATAAGATTAACATATATATTTCTTATTACTACAAATATTATTTTTAAGGTGTACACGTTTTTGTGTAACGATCCCTGATTTTTCTATTTTATTAAACAAGGAAATTAAAAAAAAAAAAAGGTCTATCCAGATCAAGAAGTTCTACCAAAAAGAAATTGTACCTTCCGATAGGAATCGAACTTGTATCCCCTTTTTCCCATAAGGGAGCCTGTTCCTATACCAATTTGGCCACCTGGAGACCATTTTGATAGGGCCGGCTTTGACTAACCTGTTTAAGTACTGCCTATCTCTCAATGAGACTTCTATGAATTTGTATCTACTAACTTCATTTTTCATACGCGAAACGTAAGCAACGGTCATTTTTAAATGTTTTGTTTTTATTTGAAATTATTTCTTATTGCTATGTAAACGTTGCACTTGATTAAGATAACATTTATGTAGCGGAAACGAAATGCGAACTGATCTGCCAACCGCTACGGATTACGGTAACCGCCCCCATTCGTCAAAGAGACGTCGCTTAGTGTGTTGTCTCTGTAAAAAGAAAGCAAATGGCCGCCCTGCCAGAACAGAGCCGGTGCGAACCCAGAAACACCTGGATATGAAATAAGTATTGCCGTGCGTCATCGACCGTGTTACCCAGCGTCGCCCAAAAATCGTTCCGTGTTTACGGTGTCTCGCCTACATTCGTCCCTTACGTGTGGTGTTCCTGTACAGAAGCCATGGTCGTGCCCTGGTTATCGTGATCCAGTGTTCGACTCTTTAAGTGTTTGATTCCGGTACTGCTAACTTTTTCGTCCCTCCTGAACTGTAACGCGCCTCTTCATTGACAGCTATCCAACCAATAAAAAGAAAATCCACCAGTTTATTATAAGAAAACATAAGAAACACCCCTAGAAAATGCGTAGCAGCACGATAACAATCTAGCCCCGTAGATTAAAGGGTTCAGTTCGAAATTCGCTTTAGGTTTCCCAGGTCAACATATACAGGATGAAGGCCTGAAGGAACAACGGCCGAAACGTTGTGATAACAACAACAAAATGAGAACTATAGTTAGCATGAAAATAATTGATACAATGGTAACTCCTTATCCAAGAAATTAAGAATTATTTCTAAAAAGTTAGGTTTATTTTTTTATTATTTTAGTTACTGTATTTACCGGTTCGGAGCACGTTCCTTGTTCCGGTGACATTAACGAACCCGTACTGTTCTTGTCCTATCTCTGGCCTGATTTTGCAGCGAGCGCTATTCACCAGAATACGTATGATGAGTTTTGTTACGTGGCTTATGAGTCTGATTGTTTGGTGGCGATCACATTCGTTTGCGCCTGGTTTCTTAGGCAGTGCAATGAAAATATATCTGCTTAGATCTTCCGGTATATCCCCACTAACAGTAATATAATTTGTGCTAATACTGTAAGTGTTTCTTCATGGTTAGTGAGAAGGTCACAGAAAGTTAAGGTTATAATTTTGATTTTTTTGGTTGTGGGTATTTTATTTTCTGATGTAATGAATATGCATACACCTGGGTTCCCCCTCACAGTATTATGATTGGCTGGTGTCAGCCATAAATACATACTGATGTGGAGGTACATGGACTACGCCTATTGACTACGCCTATTGTCTTTGCCTATTGCCTACCACTACGACGAGGACCAGTCCATTACGGTTACCTGCTAGATTGTCCTACCCGGGTAACAGTAGTCAACAACCAATTTGCTATTTCAAACAAATATACCCCCTTTTCAAGACATATCATTTTCATAAATATTCCATGCCAAAATCTGGGTGGGTCGAATGCGTTGGTGCGTCCAATAGGCCGGCAAATACGTTATGTCATGTAATTACTTGCAAAATATTGATATGATATTGGTGATAACTGGTAATAGCGAGCAGAGAAGGTTGAGTTTCGTAAATTAGTGAACAAATTAGAAAACATTTGCGCCATAGAGAGTTTTGATCATTTCTAGCTGAAGGTCGGATTGTTTTTAAATCAAAACTGGGATTGTATTTTTGCGGTTAGTAAGTAAAGCATTAAATTTTCTATACAACGTGATTTGTAGGCATGGGGGTTGTAAATATAAGTAAAGGGTTATACATATATAAATGGATAGTTGCAAATAGATAGATAGATAGATAGATAGATGTCAACAGACCGAGATAGATAGATAGATAGATAGATAGATAGATAGATAGATAGATAGATAGATAGATATGAACATATTGTGATAGATTTTTTTCTAATAAATCATATATGAGAGACCAATATTTGCAAGTGCATTGCATCAATTGCGATAATCTCCCAGAAGATACTTAGATATGATATATCCTTTTGATATGATGACAGTTTGGTTGCCATATTTTTGAACAGGGTTTTCTGCACATGCGCACATATGTTTGAGAGCATGCTTATATCTACCCCCATAAGCATGAGTATGTCTCCCACGCAATCATTTGTCGCTTGATATTTGAGCCTATCCAACATGGCCGACAGCCGTGACAATAGAATTGTACTTAAGACAACGGCTATCGGGTATCCGACTCTGTGGGAGGCACGCATCGAATCTCGTACACCCGATAGGTTTCCTTGTTAGGACATTTCCGAGCATTGGGTGGTCATTTTGCAATACCTGATCCGTCTGATGGTCGACTCTGTAGACATCTTTGACGCCAAACCGCAAAAACTCATCGGTCAGGTTTCAACACCTTTTTTTTCTGTTTCTTTTTTCTTCTTTTTGCAATAAATTAATTCTGATTCCTTCTTTTTTCTTTCTTTCCCTATATCTTCTCTCTCTCTCCCTCTCTTTCTCTCTCTCTCTCTCTCTCTCTCTCTCTCTATCTATCTATCTATCTCTCTATCTATCTCTCACTTTCTCTCTCTCTTTCTTTCTCTCTATCTATCTCTCCCGTTCTCAATCTCTCTCTCTCTCTATTTATCTATCTATCTATCTCTCTATCTATCTATCTATCTCTCACTTTCTCTCTCTGTTTCTCTATCTATCTATCTATCTCTCACTTTCTCTCCCTCTCTCTCTCTATCTATCTATCTATCTATCTATCATTTTCTCTCTATCTATCTCTTACTTTCTCTCTCTCTCTCTCTCTATCTATCTATCTCTCACTTTCTCTCACTCTCTCTATGTATCTATCTCTCACTTTCTCTCTCTCTCTCTACTATCTATCTCTCACTTTCTCTCTCTCACTTTCTCTCTCTCTCTTTCTCTCTCTCTCTATCTATATATCTATCTATCTATCTATCTACTTTCTCTCTCTCACTCTCTCTCTCTTTCTTGGGTTTTCCATTTCTTTTTCCTTCCTGTTTTTTTCTTCCTCGTTTTTTACTCACTATTCAAATTCATTTTCTGTCATTTTCTTTCTTTCTGTTTTTTTTCCTACTTCGCCATTCTTCTCTCTCTCTCTCTTTCTCTCTCTCTTTCTCTTTCATTCTTAGTTTATCTGCTTCTTTCTAATTCCTGCTTGACATCCTATTTGTTTTTAATGTCGTTCGTATTGATCTTTCTTCTTTCGCGTCAACTTATTTCATCCTTTCTTTTACTTCTCTCATTTGTTTTATTCCTTCCTTCTTTCTTTCCTTTCCTCTTTTTCCCCCCTCTTCTTCCTTTTCTCTTCTTTCTTTCCTTCCCTCTTCTTACTTTCTTTCTTTTCCTGTTTTCCTTTCTTTCCTTCCCTCTTCTTTCTTTCTTTCTTTCTTTCTTTCTTTCTTTCTTTCTTTCTTCTTTCTTTCATTTCTTCCCTTCTCGTTTTTTCTTTTTTCATTTTTTTTCTTTGAACTCTAAACCGAAGATTTCAACTCAGCCCGTGTCCCTTCTTGGTCGGAGATTTGTATTGGCTTTTCTTTCCTCTTTAAATGATTTAGTTTCCATCTTTGCGTGCTTCGATCAATTTAGGCGGATCAAGGAGGGTCATTCGAACTGATCCGTGAAAAATCTTTGATAAAAACAAAAAAAAGGAAAAAATGGTTAGAAGACAAAGTCAATCAACGTATTTGTCTTTCTTTCTTTCTCTCTCTCTCTCTTTCTCTCTCTATCTATTTATCACTCTCCACCCACCCACACACACACAAACACACACACACACACACGCGCATCTACTTTGGCCAACCTGTGTTCCTGAGTGCGATAGAAAGACTGAGATAGATAGATAGATAGATAGATAGATAGATAGATAGATAGATAGATAGATAGATAGATAGATGTGAACAGAATAACATAGATAGATATGAACAGAATGAGATAGATAGATAGATAGATAGATAGATATGAACAGAATGACATAGCTAGATAGATAGATATGAACAGAATGAGATAGATAGATAGATAGATAGATAGATAGATAGATAGATAGATATATAGACAGATAGATATGAACAGATAGATAGATAGATAGATAGATAGATAGATAGATAGATAGATAGATAGATAGATAGATAGATAGATGTATTTATTCTGGC